GCTGCTGAGCCAAAGCTCCAGCCTGCTCCATGGGTAACGCTCATGCTTGTCAGACAGCCACAGGTGGGAGTGAGCTGGAAGAGAAAGCATCTGTATGCATGAGGGGAGAGACGAATCACTTGAGCGTGTGTGCTGAACCCTTGGTGAACTAAGTGGAGCTGGCAAGGTGCCAGGGCAGCAGCAGCAACAAAAGGCCCGCTCCTCCCCCTGTGGAGACTGGTGGGCACTGAGATAGAAGTCAAATATCTGGCTTCAAAAAATGCGCTGAAAATTTCTGCCCTTTGTTTATTTACTAAATACCAGCAAAACTTGTCTGACTTCAAGTATCTTACACCTGAAGATCTGGTGCTGAAATACACTAATAGAAAGTAGAGTACTATATAAATATAATTTTAGTGACATCAAAGATGTGTTTGCAGTGCAAACAAAGTTGTTTCACATGTGGGCAGTAAACTACTTGCTTTGTTTACAGAAACAAAGTACTGTGAATAAGTGTGTAATTCCTGATTCAATTCTATACTGGATTGGGGGTAGAATGAGGGTGGAAACTTTGACTAAAGCTAAAGCACCAAATTGGGTTCAACACCACAACCTCAACCCCCTGCAAGAACACTTTGGTCCCATTACTTGAATAATTCCTTATAGAGGCAGAAGGTCTACCAAAAAAAAAAAAAAAAAGACAAAAAAACAAAAACCCAGGGTCAAAAGTGGTTAAGCAGCCTTCATTAGAAAAGTCTGGGTTTAAATAAATTTTACATTTTTACAGCAGTTTAGGTTTCCCTAATGACTTTAAGGGTCCAAGAACCAGAGAACTTGGGAGACAGGAATTCATTCGAAAAACCTTTAAAGAGCGACAGGGAGTAGAATTAGGGTGACTATAATCCCTGGTGCTGCCCACATGCCAGTACCCAGCCCCAGCAGTTATACAACTCAGTGGGGCAATCACTAATAGCCCACCAACACAGCCAGCACAGGTTCCTGGTGAACCCCCATGCAAGCACGACACCCAGAAAGTACACAAGCACCAAACTAAAGGAGTCTGACCCTCCGTGGGCTCTACAACTAAAATATGCCATCCTCAGCAAGAACCATGGGCAAACGTGCAAGCACCACCCCATTGGGTGTGGGAGAGACCCCTAATCTTCACAGCAATGATGGGAAGGCGGGGAAATAAATAAAAATCAGACAGATCATCTCTTTCCCTTGGTGGGGCATCTTCGGAGATTTTGGATAAAGTTTGGACATTTAATGTTACCTGCAAATCACTGCACAATCTTGAGATATTAACCTGGTGATTATAGAGCAAGGTGCCAGCCTAAGTGTCAATCCTGAGCCAGCCATCTACTTGTCATCATGACCTTGGACAAATAACTTCTTGTCTTTATTTCAGCTTTTCTATCTGTAAAATGGGAACAATATCAGAATCTACTTCACAGAATTGCCGTGAAGAATAAGCACAGTATTCATAAAGAGTTCATGGCATGCAGTACAGGGTATAAAACACATTTTTAAAAAGTAAGGTAAAGTAAAGGTAAAGGCCCTCCCGTTGATCGTCGATTTGCTCGAGCGGGCCCAGTAACGTCTCCATTGGAGACTTTGTTGTTACTGTGTCTGGCATATCGAATACTCTCGGTAGCTTGCCGGGCTCTCCGAGAGGGGCGGAGGAATCGAACTCGGGTCAGCCATGTTGGCCACTTGTAAGGCGAACGCCCTACCCGCTGTGCTATCGCTCCAGCCCATTTAAAAAGTATTGGCCATTATTCCCCTATTTCTCTTTGTTCCTTTCCCCAACTCTGGATTCCAGCCATTCTAGGTTTTTTCATTTTAGAGCCACAATTGTTTGTGCTCAAGGCTTACTTCTAGCTCTGCACTCAGGGATCACTCCTAGCAGTGCTAAGGGGATTATATGGGGTGCTGTACTCATCATAGAACACGGGTTGGTCACATGCAAGGGAAATGCGCTACCCACTGTGCTATTGCTCAGATCTCAGTGAATCTGGTCTCAATGGGCTCTATCTAGACGGTCCCAGCAATCATGCTTCCAGACCTTCCCACATCCTGCTCCTCAACATGGAATATTCTTGCCCAGAGACTCTCTTTTCTTTCCACATCACTAAGTATAACCATCAGTTGCTTTAGGAAGAATTTCCAGTCCAATTTTTTCTATCTTGGGGCTGCCCCAGCACCCAAATAAGCTTTTAGATGTTAGGAGGCCCGGATTATTGTTTATTAGATAAACAATCACTGTCACTGTCCTCCCATTGTTCATCGATTTGCTCGAGCGGGCCCAGTAACATCTCCATTGTGAGACTTGTTGTTACTGTGTTTGGCATATCAAACACATCATGGGTAGTTTGTCAGGCTTTGCTGTGCGGGCGAGATACTCTCAGTAGCTTGCGGGGCTCTCCGAGAGGGGCAGAGGAATCGAACTCAGGTTGGCCATATTGGCTGTGTGCAAAGCAAACACCCTACCTGCTGTGCTATCCCTCCAGCCCAGATAAACAATAAATAATCTTTTTATTTAAACTTGTTCCCATGTCAAGTTTGAATTGCAATCAATTAATAACTATGAGGATAACTGTGTCTCAAACAGTATTTAATACATACTTATATTAGTTTTGTTGCTTTTTGCAGTGCTGGGGATGGAGCACAGGGCTTTACACATGCTAGTGATCTTACACTAAACTTGTGTGTGTGGCATTTAACTGAGGGTTGTGTATCTTAACTGTCAATACCAGATCCAGGAGAGTCTCCCTCACAGCCCTTATGCCACTATGTCAGCTCTGAAGAGCTGTACCCATTAGCCTTCCCTGCTCACTATTTTAGACCTGGCTTGACAGGCATCCACAGATACTGAGAAATTGATTCATCAAGCCAAAACTCAAGCACTACTCTTAAGAGTTCACAGACAGTCTTCATGGAGAGGTATTACAACAAGGTTCTACCAACCTGGTCACATGTTGGTCACATGTGACAATGCCCCCCTCAGAACAACTCCACTTCGGTCCTGCCAGTGAGACCCCAGTGAGGGCATTAAGGTGTCCCCACAACTTTATATTTATTGTTATTTATTTTGGTTTGGAAGACACCAGTAATGCTCAGGGAATCACTCTGACAGAACTCAGGGGACCAGGAATCATCGTACCAAGATTTTATATTTTAAAACAACTCGTCTTCGCACCGACACCACTTGACTCTTAGGCAAACATAACCCATTTTGAAGAGATGAGAAAACAAGAGGATCAGAGATGACCTGCACATGGGAGTGACAATTTTCAACACCGGGGTTGACTTTCTGCTCTTTCCACTTTACCATCTGACTATCTGGGATGCTTTGAAGAATCAAAATTCCTGAGTTCTTCCTTCCTACCCAGAAAACTCAAGGTTGGGGAAGCCCAATAGTTTCCACAAACTTAGTTGTTCCTCCCATAATAGCTCCTCAAAAACAACCTGAGGGGAGACAAGGAATCCTGGAACCTGCATCAAGATGTTTCTTGGCAATTCTCCAAGGGACACTTCTATTTCTGTCTGGAGTCTAAAGACCCTAGGAGTAACACTGATCAGGACCAGCTCTCCAACCCTTTTCTTTCACCCTAAGGAACAATCTCTACAGACCATTCAATTTCTGAGGACAGAGGTCTACACTGTGAGGACAAACACTTGCCAGTTTTCTTCTGGAAACCAGGGAGAACGGCTGGCCCGCTCCTAGCATCACACCTCTCAGGCTATCCCGCCTCTGCCAAGTTCACCGGGCTACGGGCTCCAGCCAGACACAGATCTGTATCCGGCTGATGCTACTTGTATCTCCGTAGCTAACCAAGCGAGAGTTCTCCAGCTACCAGCAGGATGGCAGCTGCAGACCCAATCAGCTGGAGAAATTGCTCGGTGCAACCCAATCGCTGGGGCCAGGCACAACCCCCCCCCCCCCCGCTCTCCCCCTCCCCCCAACACACACTCTAGCTTTGCTTCCTGGGGCAGAAGGAAAAACAATGAGAACGGAGAAACGGGGAATCACTTGGAGAAGGCAGGCTGCCCTGTGCAGGGTCACAGATGATTGCGGACTGTCGGGCACCCAGACTCAGAAATGCAACCCCCCCCCTCCACCGCGTGCGCCCCCGAACCACTATGAGGCCTCGGTTTGCTGCGGGCAGGTCCGCAGACAGCTCGCAGTCAGAGGTTCCCCAGACAGCTCGCTCTGTGAGGGTTGTGCACGAGGCCTGCCTGGCAGGCTGTACGAGCTCCTACACGTAAACAGTACAGCGGGTGGAGGCTGACCCGGGCTCAGCATCCCAAATGGTCCCCTGAACACCGCCTGGAGTGATCCCTGAGCGCTGAACCTGGGGTAAACTCTGAGCGCATTCAGCGCCCCCCCCCCAATAAAGACCCTGCGCCACTGAAAACTGGGGTGCTGGCAACTAGGGACCTGCCTAAATATAAACATCAAAGGCGCAACTGAATCAGATCGTGGAGACTTGGAAGAAAATGTTCCGGAGGCCGGCGGTAGCGCGAACCCTGGCAAAGTTTCCGACCTAGATTGGAACGCTCGGGTGCTCAGACGCGTGCGGACCACCGGGGCGGGCTCAGGAGAGGACCCGCAGGGAGACTCCCTTTTCCCGGCGCCCGGCCCGGGCTCGGCAGGACCCCCGCGCAGCCCCGTTCCCGCTCGCCCGCCGGCTCCAGCCGCCTCGGTTGCCCGGGAAACGCGGGACGCGCGCGGAGCCGGCGGCCAAAGGCGGGTGCGCGGCGCCCGCGGGCTTCCGCGCGGCCAGCGGCCGGCTCGTGGCGGTTCTTTGGCCGGGAAAGCGCAGCTCTCGTGCGGCTCCGCGCTCAGCCAGTGAGCGGCCGGGGGTGTGGTCGTGGGAAGGGCCCGGCCGCTTACTTAGGGCCTTGCCCGCCCGGCTGCCAGCGCCTCCGCTCTTTCGCGCGCGCCTCCGGGCCGCGGCAGCCGGGGACCCGTCGAGCACCCCCCAGCCCCCCTCCCCGCCCCCCCCGGCTGCACCATGGTCACCCCCTGCCCCAGCAGCCCGCTGAGCCCCGCCGCCCGACTCGGGAGGCGGGACGACGAACAGAACCTGCGGGCGCCCGTGAAGAAGAGCCGGCGCCCGCGCCTCCGGAGGAAGCAGCCGCTGCAGCCGCTGCAGCCCTGCCAGCTCCCGGGAGACTCGGGCGTCTGCGACCTCTTCGAGTCCCCCAGCTCCGGCTCGGAAGGCGCAGACAGCCCCGCGGCGTCCGCGGCGCGAGCCTGCTGCAGCCGCCTGCCCGGCCCTGCCCAGCCGTTGGTGCAGCTCGACCTCCAGACCTTCCGCGACTACGGTCAGAGCTGCTACGCCTTCCGCAGGGCGCGGGAGAGCCAGTTCCACCCGCGGGAGTCGCTGGCGCGGCAGCCACAAGTGAGGCGCCGGTAGAGCCAGCTCCTCGCTGCCGCTCTCCTTCCTCCGGGGCTTTTCTTCTCCTCCGCTCTGTCCGCCCTCCGAGGTTCTCCCCAGCCGGCGCCAGCCCCGTTCCTGCTCCCCCGCCCCGGCCCCCCGCCGCGGCCCGGGCGGGAAGGGGCGTCTTGCAGGTGGAGAAAAAGGGGGACCCAGGCTCGAGAGACCTGCCCAAAGTCTCCAAACTGGTTTAGTGGGGGCATCTGGTAGAGTGCAGAGGATTTACGGTTCGGGTGTGGACTCCTACCGGCCCGGGCGAGTTCTTTTACAGTCCTGAACTTGTTTCTTCATCTGCAAAGTGGGGGTCCCCCCATTCCCCCCAAATGAGTTGCTGAGAAACTTACACCAGGTAAAGCATATACGCGCTCAGCGCAGCGCCGGTCCACGACCCAGGCGTGCTGGCTCCTAACCGGGCCGAGAGTTCTGCCCAAACAGCTGAGTGAGCTTGTTTCCCTGGTTTCGGGCGCTTTTAGCTTTTGCTTCTCTTCCTGCGGCGCTCGGAGAAGTTGCTGGGATCCTTCAGGGCGTCCCTCCGGGCCCTAGGCTCAGCCGTCTCTCCTCTCTCCTCCCTTCTGGCAGGTAACGGCCGAGTCCCGCTGTAAGCTGCTCAGCTGGCTCATCCCGGTGCACCGTCAGTTTGGCCTCTCCTTCGAGTCGCTGTGTCTGACCGTGAACACTCTGGACCGCTTCCTTACCACCACACCTGTGGCCGCAGATTGCTTTCAGCTGCTGGGGGTCACGTCCCTGCTTATTGCTTGCAAACAGGTACCTCCCGGGTGGGAAGGAGCAGCCCACGCTCGCCGCCTCTCCAGCACTCACGATTTAATTCTGGTAGACGTTTTAATTTTGGTAGACGTTTGCAAGTGTGGACATTTCCACAGCCTTAACTTCACAACTCCCCCCCTCCCAAACATCTCCGAAATAGGTTTAAATCAGCCCCAATAGAGATGGAGAGGAAATACCTTCAAACATTCTTCAACCTTAATTTAGTCGGACAGGAGTTAGGGAAATTGCGTAGACTCCAGGTAACCTTAGAAATAATGGAGAGGGTTGGGCTACACTGACCTCCTGGTTTTGAGACTACGGTGGCCCTTGGGGCCAGGATGACATGCGCAGTGTGTGTGTGTGGGGGGGGGGAGAAATAACTGTGGCTCAGTGGGTAGAGCGCATACTTCTCAGGTGCCCTGTGTTTGTTTCCTGGCTCCACTCATACACTGTCCCGGACCCCTCTTAGGCAAAGACTGAGCCGTCCCCCCTGCATTACAGGTGGAGGTGCACCCACCACGTGTTAAGCAGCTGCTAGCCCTCTGCTGTGGTGCCTTCTCCCGTCAGCAGCTCTGCAACCTCGAGTGCATCGTTCTGCACAAGCTGCACTTCAGCCTGGGCGCACCGACCATCAGCTTCTTCCTGGAGCATTTTACGCACGCACGCGTGGAGGCTGGGCAGCTGCGGGTCTCTGAGGCCCTGGACTCTCAGACCCTGGCGCGAGGGGTGGCAGAGTTGAGCCTGGCTGACTACGCCTTCACCAGCTACCCGCCCTCCCTGCTGGCCATCTGTTGCCTGGCGCTAGCTGACAAGCTGCTGCAGCTCCCGGGCTCCATGGACTCTCGCCTGAGTGGGCACCCCGAGGAGGCATTTGAAGACTGCTTGGGCAAGCTGCAGCTGCTCGTGGCCATAAACGGAACCTCTCTGACTCACATGCTGCCCCTGCAGATCTGCCAGAAGTGTCACTTGTCCCCGAGCTTGAAATAATATAGACCCTTCATTCCAGATGTACTCCTCCAGAGGGTCACGTGTCCTCTCCATTGCTTTGAAAGAAGAAAACTGGCCCACAGACAGGGGGTCCGAACTCCTACTTGGTCACAGGCCACCCTGCAGGTTGTAAATAGTGTACGATAGTTGTGCCTGGTGCTTTATTTATTTTTCTGCCTAGAGGAGTGAGCAGATAATCTTTCCCCATTAAACAGACTGTCCTGGTTGAATTGAATGTGGCTATTGCGGTGTGTTTTTCATGGGGAGAAAGGGGGAAAGCAGCCCAGCCCAGGACTAGAGACCAACTTCCTCCCAGTCAATGTCCTGAGTTGAGATAGTCAGGTAGTGTGGTGAGTTGCCCCATTCTAGTTACAGGGCAAGTCAAGGGACATTCAGATATCTGTGTCAAGAGACTGTAACCTAAGAGGCCCAAAGGTGGGGCCTGATGGGGTATAAGGCTCAATGGAGCCCCAGCCCTATCCAGATGAGCTGGGGTGATGTGTAAAGGGGGCCTCAGAAGCTCAAGGGACTGTGCAGAAGCTCAGGGACCCTTGGGCTGGGGTGAGCCAAGATCTTCTCCCAACAAATGATAGAATGCTAAAAAACAGACTAGGTAGTTATGGTCTGTAGAAATTGAGCCCAGATACCCAGTAATCCCCTGGTTATGCAGCTCTCATTTGTCTTACAATTGCTTCGTGTGAGCCTGGTCTAAGGACAGAGGGAGTCCTAGGCAGCCTGGGTTCAGGACTGTGTTTCGCACTCACTACTTCAAGCCTGCAAGCCTGAAGCTGTCTTATCACCATCTTTCAGAGGTGGGCACTGGAGCACTTCAACAGCAGCACAGCCACCCACAATGGAAAACAAGTGATGGGCTTCAGATCCACCCTTAAAGGGATAAATTCCCCCCCCCCTCACACATACCCCACACCCACACACACGTTTCTGAAGAAGCTCAAAGAGTTCCCTTCCCCAAGCTGTGTGGGAGAAGTTAATCTACTCCAGGCCTTTATTCTACAGAGTACATATTTAGAGATGCCAGTTCTGTTCTGCCCCCCTCATGTTACAGGAATCACTTTACAAGAGCTGGTTGACTGGCTGGTGTTTTCTAGCTCATAATTCTCCTGCCATCTTTGTTCTTGCAGTTGTAAGTCTGATATAGGCCCTGAACTTCAGCTCTGTCACTTCCTGAGACTTTCTTAGCTTCTCTGAGTTCAACAACGAATACCAGAGATGTTACAGAGCCTGAGATGCTTGGCTGGGAGGTAGTGTATATAAAAGAGAGGTTCAACAAGTTGGCTCTGGATGGCTGTAGATGAGTTCTGTTTTGATGAAGTCTATTCTGTAAAACTGGGAATAACAGCATCCACTTGCCCACCTGGAGGGGTAGTAGTATGAGTTTCATGAGTTCCGTTACTACCCTCACTCCCAACATACAGAGCTGCAAAACTTCATAAAATGCAGATTACTGGGGCTGGAGAGAGACTATAGTGTCCCCAGAGTCCTCCAGGAGAAATTCCTTAGTGCAGAACCAGGAGTAACCCTGTTAGATATGGTGCAAGCCTCATTCCCCTCCCCCCCAAAAAACCCCAGTACCCTAAAATACCCCTCCAAAGCAAAGATATGAAGGCTGGCTATAGCCACCAAGATGGGGAAGGAGGTTATACAGAAAGCCTAGAGAAAAGAGTAGAGATAAAATGTTAAAGATACAAGGGAACCTACTGTCATCTACTCATGGTATATTTCCCCCCTCTAAAAGTTTTGGGAGATAGTACATGGATTAAGTACATGCTTGCCTTACATGAGACCAACCCTGGTTTGATCCCTAGCACCATACATGGTGCCTCCAGCACTGCCAGGCATTATCTCTGAGCATCACAAGGTATGTTTCCAGTCCCCACTGAATAAAAAGTTTTGGGGGAATCATAAGCCGTTGCATTTAGAATAAATTCAAATGCAAAGCAAATATGCACAAATAAAAAAGTAAACTTGGCACATTCAGAATTTTCCTTGCATTGTTTTGACCTACCTTTCCAAGTACTCTCCAGAGCGTACAGTGCTTTACTGAGTCTTGGATATGCTCTCCTGAAAAGATGCTAAACTCTCCAGAAACTTTTTCCTCCTGGGATTAGGGAGAAAGAAGTGGGTACCCCAAGCTGATGAGAAGGAAAACTGATCTTCCACAGTGAAAAGGAAGAAGGGGAAAAAAGTATAGCTATTCCATATCCCAAAATATCTGGAGCCCTCAGCCTGGCTATTAGTGCAGAAGGGGAAGATAGAGAAGGGAAAATAGTTGCAACTGATTCTGCAACACTTTCTTTGTTTGTTTGGGGGCCTCACTTGGTCTTGCTCAGGGCTTACTCCTGCCTCTGCACTCAGAAATCACTCCTGGGGGTCCTCAAGGAACTATAAGGGATGCCCGGTTTGAACTCCAGTTGGTTATTTGCAAAGCAAACGCCTTACCTGCTGGACTCTTGCTCCAGCCCTTCAAAGCAATCTTAAAAGGAATTTTTCTCTAATATTTGCCACATCAGTCAGCCAAGACAGAAATAGGCAAGACAGCTCCAGAATCACTCAGACTAGGAGTCAGCTGTATTTTGCTATTATAGCCACTGTTGCCTTTTGCTTTTTTTTTTTTTTTTTTGCTTTTTGGGTCACACCTGGCGATGTACAGGGGTTACTCCTGGCTCATGCACTCAGGAATTACTTCTGGAGGTGCTCAGGGGACCATATGGGATGCTGAGAATCAAACCCTGGTAGGCCTTGTGCAAGGCAAATGCCCAGGAGCAATAACACAGCGGTAGGGCCTTTGCTTTTCGAGAGGCCAGTCTGGCAGAGCCAGGTTCGATTCCTCCACCCCTCTCCACCTGGCAAGCTACTTTTGACGTATTCAATATGCCAAACACAGTAACAACAAGTCTCACAATGGAGATATTATTGGGCCCACTTGCTCGAGCAAATCGATGAACAATGGGAGGACAAACCTACATTTTGTGGCATTATTTTGTCATATTTTATGGAATTGTTTTCTCATATTTTCTACCACAAGACAGAATCCATTGATGAAAAGTGGCCTGTTTTAAAAATCTTGTGATAATTCCTTCATGTATAGTCATCCCCCTCCCCTCCCCCAATAAACTCAGTTGAGAATTGAGAATTTTATGCTACTTTGACTAGCGAGAAAAGATTGGTAAGAATAGGAATGGAGGGTGGGTAGGCTAGTGGTGAAGCTATTCAAGAACTAGAGATACTAGGAGATAGGATGAGGCGATGGGAGACTGAAGGGAAAAGGTTATTGCAAGCAACAGAACTAGGAAATCCTGCTTAGGAGACCCTCTCTCGTACTTGCGAGGTTTTCTGCCTTTCCCTCTCCTTTCTAGTCTCTTAAATAACGTCTCTCATGAACTTAAAAAGTTTTTTTTTTAAAAAAAGATGATGATTTTATTCTATACCAAACACTAGTCACATTACGTGAACAATCCCATCCTCACTTGTATTGGTGTTTTGTCTCTCCTGAACTGGGATCTGGCCCTAGGTGGGCCTGGTCGGAATCCCCTAATGCTGACACTCTAAAACCTGAGCTCCTCGCCCATCAGCGATACCAGGCCACTCCGAGCAGCCCGACTCACCTCAAACTGCCATTCTCCATCTCCATCTGGGTCAGAGACTCTCTGCGCCCTGCTAGCTTCTCGGTCAGGCAGGGGTGGGCATTTTGTGAACCAATTCCGATAAAAATAATAACAGAGGCAAAAATTAGAGGCAACAATAGAGGCAAATAGAGTCCTGGCAGTGGGGGCGGATCTCTCACTACTGGGTATAAGGAATAAGCAAGGTGCCCGACAGAAGGCGCCCTCACGCAAACGTCCCAGTCTCAGATGAAACGGATGCATGTGAGAGCCCCCTGACCCAGAAGTTGGAGCCCTTCCCAGCAGAAGCTTGGGAAAGGCGAGCTAGGTGTGGGCCTAGCAAGAGAAGTCCAGTTGCTGCCTGCTGTGGGCAGCAGAGAGCGCTGGGGGTGTGGGATGGTGTGGATATGAGACTCTGGTTTTAGTTGATTTGGGAATGTTTACTGCCGCTTTTGAGAAACTTGTAGAGCCAAACTTGTAGATATGTAGATTTCCTTTACGCCCCCCCCCCCCCACCCCCATGGCCCTTCTTGATTTTTATTTGGTGGTGGTGGAGAGAATGGATGGAATCACACCAGGAGTTGCTTAGGGGCTTTGCGCCCAGGGATCACTCCTGACGGTGCTCGGCGGGGACCTTATGCGGTGTCAGTGATGAGCCCGGGTGGGACACGAGCAAGACAAGTGCCGGCCCTCTTTCACAGCTGCTCGGGCATAGCCACCCGGAATGAGCAGGGCTTTGGGAGTGGGGACGGGGTGTCCGAAAGATTCCAAGTTTAAGCTCCCGAGTAAAACCCAGGAGTGCTCCCCTAACCTTGGGGGAAGGGACTCTTATGGGGCGTGATTCTGGTGTGATTCTGCGGGAATCCTAGAGCCCCCACCAAATGCTTTGAGGAGGGCCGGAGGCGGCCAGCTGGTTCCCGGCTCGGGCGAGTGTCACTTCCCGCCGTTGGAGGTGCGGAACGGTCTGGGGTGCGAAAGGGCAGGACTAACACCGTTAACTTTTTCCTGGCCGCGGTGCAGAGGCGGGAAGACGGCGCGGGTGCAAGAGAGCGTGGGACTCGCTCTCCCGCCCCTCTCGCCTCCACCCCTCCCCCCTCCCCGCCCCTCCTGCCCTGGCGCGGCCGGGAGGCGGCGGCGGCGGCGCCAACGTTCGCCGAAAGGGCGCTCGCGGGCCCGGGCCAGGCTCTGGCGGCTCCCGGGGGAAGCGGCGTTGCCAGGTTGGGTTTAACGCCCCCGCCCGCGCGCAGCCTGTCCACGGCTGGAGGCGCCGCCTACTGCGCTCAGACTGCAGCAGCCGGTGCCGCGCCGCGGTCCTGCCCCTGCTCCGTGCGCTCGCGCCGCGCCGCAAGTCTTCGGCCTTCGCGGGGCTCCCCAGAC